CCACAGTGACACTGGGGACATATCGGGCCGAGAGACCCTGGGGTGAAGGTTGAGCTTATGCGCCGCGTACCGAACCGCAAACGGCCAAAGAAAATGGGGGGCAGCCGCATGCATCATGGACGTACGAGCGACATCCATGACCATGCCAATGCGGCGCTCAGCAATCCCATTTTGCTGTGGAGAGTCTGGAAGCGTAAAGGTCTGGCGGATCCCCTGTGCACGACAGTAGTCTCGCAGAAGGCGAGAGGAGAACTCCCCACCTCGGTCAGAGTGCAGACGCAGAACAGGAAAGTCCGAGCCGAAGCTCCTCCTGAGCTGGAGACGAGCCTCGCGGATCCAGTCGATCAGCACCTCAGTGACAGCACCCTTGCTGCGCAAGGGGAAGACTGAGGTGTAACGCGAGTAGTCGTCAACCACCAACAGGAAGTAGCGCTTGTGACCCTGCCCACGGACGGGGGCCGGGCCCCACACGTCCATGTGAAGTGTCTGCAGAGGAGCCTCTGTCGGGGGAAACTGGGAGGAGTGAGGAGCAGCCCTGAGGCGCCCCTCGACACAGGGGACACAGGAAGGTCCTGGTCCCGAAGGAAGGGGAGGGAGAGACTGGGGAAGACCAGAGACAAGGACACGGGAAGCCATGCCCCGAAGACGGGGCAAGGAGGGGTGGCCAAGACGGTGGTGCCACAGGAGAGTCTCGTGAGACAGGAGGCGACACGAGCAGGGGGCAGACTCAGGACCAGACCTGGACGCAGCAGCAAACACCTGACCTGACGCTGCTACCTGACCGGACGCAGGGACAGGAGGAGACTCAGTGGTCAGGGTGTAGAGGCTCGACCCCGGCCGACGCGAGAACGTGGCCAGGTGCCGGCTTGTGCGTGCGTCCGTGCAGTGGGTCACCCGCTGACTCGCAGGAGTGAACTGGTGAACCCCCGCATCCTGTAGGTCTGCACCACTCACCAAGTTCGTCGAGAACGAGGGGAGGTACAGGCCAGACAGGGTGCCCGAGGGGGCAGCCGGACACGGGAGGACAGTGGAGAAGTGAGCGAGGACAGGACCCCCAGAGGGGTCAGCCAGGGAGACAGCAACCGGCCGACCAAGCGGCGTGAGTGTGGTGCGGTCCCGAAAGAAGGAGCGAGAAGCCCCAGAGTCAAGTGTAAAGGTGAGGGAGGCCGAAGCCAACGCGGTACCTGAGAGCGCAGCCTCACCCGCACCTCAGGAAGCAGACTCACTAGCACCTAGAGCAGCAGCCGCACCTGTACCTGGAGCAGGAGACTCACTAGCACCCAGAGGAGCAGCCTCACGAGTAGCCAGAGCAGCAGGTCCTATACCTGGGTCAGGCGAGACGCACAGATGACCGGCACGGTCAGCACTAGTAGGCAATGCATACATGGCAGTGAGAATAGCATCATAGTCAAGAGCATATATATCGACCCTGTGCCTAAGCAACTCCACCCAGTCGGGAAGCTCTGCCTCGTCGCCAAACACGGTACGCCAGGCGTCGCTCAGACGGGCGAAGCAGCGGGACTGTGTATGACTACGTGTCCCACAAGGCTGACCAGTCCGAGTACCAGTGCGAATCACGTAAGAGCAGCGAACAGCACTGAGAGACCCCCCACTCTGAGCGTACCACTCACGAAGCTGGCGAGGCGTGAGAGACACGCGAGAGGGTCGCGGGAGCTGCATCTGGCCGCCACCACGAGTAGAAGCAGCAGGAGTGGTAGTAGGAGTAGCGCCGCCACCCTTACAGCCCCAACCAGCGTACCACTCACGCAGCTGCTGGGGCGTGAGGGACTCACGCACGCGTCGCAGGGGCTGCATCTGGCTCCGCAAGTAGAAGCAGGAGCAGGACTAGCAGCAGGAAGGCAGGCAGCCAGGCAAGCCAAAAGGCAGGCACGCAGGCAAGCAGGCGACGCGCAGCGTGCTAGCAGGGCAAGAGCTCACCAGTGGTGGGAAGAGTAGGCTCGGCGACTCAGCGGCTCGGCAGCTCGGCGGCTCGGCGGCTCGGGCGACTCGGGCGGCTCGGCGGCAAGGCGGCTCGGAAGCAACTGCAGCTCAGCAGCTCGGTGACTCGGCGGCTCGGCGGTAGGGCGGCTCGGCAGCAGCTGCAGCTCAGCAGCTCAGCGACCCGGCGGCTCGGCGGCAGGGCGGCTCGGCTGCTGGGCGGCTCGGGTGCAGGGCGGCTCGGCGGTGGGGCGGCTCGGCTGCTGCAGGTGAGCGGCTCGGCTGCTGCAGTGGGAGATGAAGGAGGAGGAGAAGCAGGGGAGGCCACACACCTGCCACCCCTCTGCTGCGGCCCCCTCAGGTCGCCTCGACAGGCGACGGGAAAAGGGGGGGGGTGGTGGGGGCCGGTAGGTGCAGCGGCGGGGCCAGCAGGTGCAGTTGCGGGGCCGGTAGAAGGGGACGGCAGGAGCCGTCAGGAGGGGACGGCGGGGCCGTCAGGAAGGGACGGCGGGGCCGTCACGAAGGGACGGCGGGGCCGTCAGGAGGCGACCGGGCCGCGACTGGGGCAGGCGGCGGGGCCGCGTAAGGGCCTGGGCGGGGCCGCGACAGAGCCGTCGGCGGGGCCGCGTGAAAGCCGGGGAGGGGCCGCGTAGAAGCCGGGGCGGGGCCGCGCGAGAGCAGGCGGCGGGGCCGCGAAGGAGCCGGGGCGGGGCCGCATGAGAGCCGGGGCGGGGCCGCGTAGAAGCCGGGGCGGGGCCGCGCGAGAGCAGGCGGCGGGGCCGCGAAGGAGCCGGGGCGGGGCCGCGTGAGAGCAGGCGGCGGGGCCGCGTAAAGGCCGGGGCGGGGCCGCGACAGAGCCGGCGGCGGGGCCGCGTGAAAGCCGGCGACGGGGCCGCGTAAGGGCCGGCGGCGGGGCCGCGTCAGTGAAGGCGGCGGGGCCGCAGGGGAAATGGCGACCCGAGGGGTCGCTAAAAAAAAAAAATCGCGCCTCAGGGGGCGCTTCGGTGGGCCCAAAAAAAACGGTCCTTAGAAGGACCCGCTCTATACCATGTGACAATAAGCAAACAGGATTGAAATGACTAAGTCAGGGTTGGGTACAAATACAACCCTAGAAAGCTGTACCCCATATGTGCTACCCCACTATAGCCTACAAACATGCATCAGCTATAGTAATCTGACAGCTGCTGCCGTTGTCGCATGTAGAATTGTCGATGTTGCCGCTGCTGTTGCTCCTACTATTGTCGCTGCTGCTGTGGCGGTTGCCGACTGGTTCGCAAGGAGTTTTTCGAGTCGTGGGAGCGCAGCACGTATTTGCTTATGCTCAGCACGTAACTCCGCGATTTTCTGTACTGAAATATCTCCTTTTCCCTCCATTTGGCGATTTACAGGAAGATGCGCGACGAAAATAATCGAACTCTAGGTGCTGGTCGTCTTACTGCGAGTCAAGTTGACTGTAGAATCGACGAGCGCAAATTTCGTAGGTTGCGTAAATCTAGGAAATTCGCGTCCGATCTTGGCCGTTGAGGAGAAAATCGATCCGACGTTCCAAATTCCAACTTTTTTGAGCGAAATTCTCTGGGCCGTTGAGATGGAACTCGATCGAACGGTCGAAACTCCAACCTTTCCACCAGTAAATCTGAGGGGTGTTCGAAAACCGAATCAAGGGGGACTTAGAAAAATTGCGCGGAACTGTTTTTACATACCCGTATCGGCGCTTTCGTCGTCGCCCCTGCGGTTTTAAAGGCCGGAACTAAGCCATTGAAGACCTCGCGTGAAAACCCGCTCTGATTACCAAGTGTGAGGATCTGGGATCGAGCTCAGAAAAGATGATTCAAATTGAATTGAATTGAATTGAATGTCCGCCTGGGTTCAACACGAGGTTATATATAGGCTCGACACAAGGCCCCGTAACCAGGTGTTACGCGAAGGTTCCGCGGGTCACGAAGCGTCCCGAACAGATCCTTACCGAATTCGGTAGAAGGCAATTCGGTGGCAACCGAAAAGCCAGAATTCGGTGCATGTAACCTAGCTCGGTGCTATAACTATAATAAAATGTAGGAAAGCACCTAGCCTAGGAAATCAAGCAATTCATGCATGCATATGATTATCCTATGCTAGAAATAGCATGATAAAGTAGAGGCAAGCAAGCATAGCTAGCATAAGCCGTCGTACTCTCACAGGAAGCCATCTCTGCATCCATAGCTGCCTACCCCTGAGAGGAGTAGGGACCCTCTACGGCCTCCGTGTAATAGCGCGGAGTCGGGATGTCAAGTGCATCCGGGTCTCCCTCAGGGGTAAGAAGTACGGACACGAGATGAGGTGAAGCAGCAGCTAGACACTGGAACTCCTCCTGCCTGTCCTCTAGGCCGTCCGTGCCAAGAGCACACTCACCCCCGACGGACGGAGGACAGACAGACGCAGATCCAGCAACGAGACTAGCAGCGTAGTCTAGACGACAGGGAGCATCAACAAGAGCAGACGCAGCAGTGGACTCAAAAGAGGGGTCAGTGGTGACAGTAGCAAGGAGACGCGTGACAGTAGGACTGGCAGCACGAAGAAAGTCCGACTCCGGGTCCGCAAGGGCAGGAAGAGAGGACTCAAGAGGAGAAGGCAAATGGGCACGCAAAGGAGCAATGGACGGTTGCAAAGAAATCCGGTGCATGCCAGGGACAGGAGGAGAACGCTGACGCGAACCGCGACCACTAGAGCGAGCAGTACAAACCGGCAACGCAGGACGAGACGCAGGCTCACGACGCTTAGCAAGACCTCCAGTAGGACCAGTGTAGGGAGAAGGAGCAGGCAGTAGGGAGGCCGGCGGTAACTGTGACTGTGAGTGGACAGGCGGTGGACACTCTAAGGAAGGAGGAAGACAAAGAACCTGCTAAAGGAGCGGAACAAAGTACGGCCGAGGCGGCGCGGCGGATCTAGACACAGCACGGACAGCACCAGCACCCCCAGTGGCAGCACCAGCGCCAACAGCACCTCCAGCTCCAGTACCTCCAGCAGCACCAGCAGCAGGACCGCCACTAGGACTAACAGCAGTAGTCTCAGCGCCAACACCCTCAGCAGCTCTGACTGCAGTCGCAACCTCCAAGCTCGGCACCCCCAGGCTCAGCATCCACGCGCACGGCACCCCCAGAGTCAGCACCCCCAGGCTCAGCACCCGCAGCAGCACCAAAGTCACCAGTAACCTCGACCGGGTCAACTGCGTCTACCTGGGACACACCTGAGGGGGCAGGAACCTGAGGGGGGAGGGGGTCTACCGGGGGGGGGAACCGGCACAAGAAAGTCCGGTGGCGGGGGGAGAGAAGGAGTGCGGTAGGGGAAGAGGCGGTAGAAGGGGACTGACTCGTCGAACGTGACGTCCTGGGAGGACAGAACACGACGAGAGGAGGGGTGGTAGAACTGCCACCCTGGAGCGTCAGGGGGGAAGCCAAGGAAGACACAGGGAGCAGCACGAGGGGACAGTTTGTCCGCAGACAAGTCGCGGACAAACGCCCGAGATCCCCAGATACGGAACGCAAACGCATCGCCAACCTTCCCCGTCCACAGCAAGACTGGGGACATCGCGGGCCGAGAGACCCTGGGGTGGAGGTTGAGCTGATGCGCTGCGTACCGAACTCAAACGGCCACAGAAAATGGGGGGCAGCCGCATGCATCATGGACGTACGAGCGACGTCCATGACCATGCCAATGCGGCGCTCAGCAATCCCATTTTGCTGTGGAGAGTCCGGAAGCGTAAAGGTCTGGCGGATCCCCCGTGCACGACAGTAGTCTCGCAGAAGGCGAGAGGAGAACTCCCCACCTCGGTCAGAGTGGAGACGCAAAACAGGAAAGTCCGAGCCGAAGCTCCTCCTGAGCTAGAGACGAGCCTCGCGGATCCAGTCGATCAACACCTCAGTGACAGCACCCTTGCTGCGCAAGGGGAAGACTGTGGTGTAACGCGAGTAGTCGTCAACTACCAGCAGGAAGTAGCGCTCGTGGCCGTGCCCACGGACTGGGGCCGGGCCCCACACGTCCATGTGAAGTGTCTGCAGAGGAGCCTCTGTCGGGGGAAACTGGGAGGAGTGAGGAGCAGCCCTGAGGCGCCCCTCGACACAGGGGACACAGGAAGGTCCTGGTCCCGAAGGAAGGGGAGGGAGGGACTGGGGAAGACCAGAGACAAGGACACGGGAAGCCATGCCCAGAAGACGGGGCAAGGAGGGGTGGCCAAGACGGTGGTGCCATAGAAGAGTCTCGTGAGATAGGAGGCGACACGAACAGGGGGCAGACTCAGGGCCAGACCGGGACGCAGCAGCAAACACCTGACCTGACGCAGCTATCTGACTAGACGCAGGGACAGGAGGAGACTCAGTGGTCAGGGTGTAGAGGCTCGACCCCGGCGGACGAGAGAACGTGGCCAGGTGCCGACCTGTGCGTGCGTCCGTGCAGTGGGTCACCCGCTGACTCGCAGGAGTGAACTGGTGAACCCGCGCATCCTGCAGGTCCGCACCACTCACCAAGTTCGTCGAGAACGAGGGAAGGTACAGACCAGACAGGGTGCCCGAGGGGGCAGCCGGACATAGGAGGACAGTGGAAAAGTAAGAGAGGACAGGACCCCCCGAGGGGTCAGCCAGGGAGACTGCAACCGGCCGACCAAGCGGCGTGAGTGTGGTGCGGTCTCGAAAGAAGCAGCGAGAAGCTCCGTAGTCAAGTGTGAAAGTGAGGGAGGCCGAAGCCGACGCAGTACCTGAGAGCGCAGTCTCACCAGTACCTGAGAGCGCAGCCTCACTAGTACCTGAGAGCGTAGACGCACTGGCACCTAGAGCAGCAGTCGCACAAGCACCGAGCGCAGTAGTACCAATGCCCGGGTCGGGCGGGAAACACCGGTAACAGTCACCCTCCTCACTAATAGTCACAGCATACATAGCAGCAAGGATAGCATCAAAGTCAAGATCAAAGATAGCTACACCAGCCCTAGACAGCTCTCCCCAGCGGGGGATCTCACTAGCCTCGGGGAACTGCTGACGCCAAGCGTTCGTCAGGCGGCCAAAGCAGCGCAGGGTGGGGTGGGCACCCCCACACTGCTCACCCGCGTGGTCGCCGGAACGAAGGACGTAGGTGCACGGACCAGTACCCCCACCTCGCTGACGCTCCGTGTACCACTCACGGAGCTGCTGGGGCGGAGGGATGTCCCGCGAACGCTGCTGCTGCTGCTGCTGGCGCTGACCACTCCCAGAGCTGCTCCACTGCGGGGTACCACCCCGACCATCTCCACCCCCTCCGCCACCACCGCCTCCCCCTCCGCCTCCTCCGCCGCCTCCACCTCCACCGCTGCCGCCACCACCGCCGCCTCCTCCGCCGCTGCCACCACCACCACCGCCGCCGCCACCACTCCCGCCGCCACCCCCACTCCCTCCGCCGCCTCCACCGCCACCTCCACCGCCCCCTCCAGCTCCACCCGCGCCCTTGCCCCCCTTGCCCTTGCCAGAGCGGCGTCTCCCACTAAGGGCAGACGCCGCGCCGACCGACTCAAGACCAAGTAAGTCGGCAGCTGCAGCAAAGGCAAGAGAGGGCAGCAGGGGGGAAGGAGAGCACCCCTCAAAGATGGGAGTGCGAGGGCCACCCCGAGAAGCTCCTACAGCGACGATGCTCTTCTCCGCCGCTAGGAGGGCCTTCTCGAGGAGGTCAACAGTGAGGGTGGTGGGACAGACCGAGAGAAAGTGGTCCCTGACTACGCAAAGAGAGTCAGGGAGGCGAGCGACAACGTAGTAGAGAGTGATGTACATGGGGGGGGGGGTTCTTGGCGCAGAACTCAGCAGGAAGGGCGGCGCGGTAGCGGGTGTCACTAATGCGGAGGTGCGTCATGAGGTCAGCGACAGTGGGAAAGGCACTGAGTTCAAGAAAGAGGTACGGAAGCATGAGACGGCTCATTGCAGCAGTGGCAGGGGAAGAGTAGCGCGCAACTACAGCGTCCTACAAGGTCTGAGCACTCTTGTACTGGCTAAAGTGCGCGCGCTCAGTGGTAGGGAGGTGGCGACGCACAGCAAGATGTGTAGCAGCATCGCGGGTGGCCCACAGAGAGCGAACAGTGGGGTCAGCATCAGTAGCAGGGGCAGGCGAGGCGCCAGAGGTGAGGTCAAAGAGAGAAAGACCGTCTGCCCTATCGCACTGTAAGAAGAGCTGGAGGTCGTCGACCCAGACCTCAAAGTCTATGGCTCGACCCTCAACGTCAAAAGCGAGGACACTAGGGGTAGCCATAGCGACAGACTAGCAGTGCAAGCAGTGGGGAAGGGCACGCAGTAGCAGTGGGGCAGTGCCGTGCTCACCAGAAAAGGGCAGGTCGGGCGGTCCGGTTCGTGGGCGGCTCGGCTGCTGTGGGGCGGCTCGGCAGCTCCTGGGCGGCTCGGCGGCTGCGGGGCGGCTCGGCAGCTCCCAGGCGGCTCGGCTGCTGCTAGGCGGCTCGGCTGCTGCTGGGCGGCTCGGCTGCTGCTGGGCGGCTCGGCTGCTGCTAGGCGGCTCGGCTGCTGCTGGGCGGCTCGGCTGCTTCTGGGCGGCTCGGCTGCTGCTGGGCGGTTCGGCAACGGGGCGGCGCAGCTACTGCAGGGCTGGGGCGGCGGGGCCGCGAGAGCAGGGACGGCGGGACCGTGAACGCTGGGGCGGCGGGGCCGCGAGATCAGGGGCGGCGGGGCCGTAGGCGCTGGGGCGGCGGGGCCGCGAGATCAGGGGCAGCGGGGCCGCTGGAGCAGGGGCGGCAGGGCCGCGAGAGTAGGTGGCGGCGGGGCCGCGAGAGAAGGGGCGGCGAGGGCCGCGAAAGCAGGGGTGGCGAGGGCCGCGAAAGCAGAGGCCACGGGGCCGCGAAAGCAGGGGCGGCAGGGCCGCGAGAGCAGAGGCCGCGGAGATGTGACAGCAGGGGCAGCGGGACCGCGGGAGTAGGGGCCGCGGGGCCGCGACAGCAGGGGCGACGGGGCCGCGCGAGCAGGGGCTGCGGGGCCGCGACAGCAGGGGCGACGGGGCTGCGCAAGCAGGGGCCGCGGGGCCGCGACAGCATGGGCGGCGGGGCCGCGTGATCAGGGGCGACGGGGCCGCTTGAGCAGGGGCCGCGGGGCCGCGACAGCAGGGGCGACGGGGCCGCGCAAGCAGGGGCCGCGGGGCCGCGACAGCAGGGGCGGCGGGGCCGCGTGATCAGGGGCGACGGGGCCGCGCGAGTAGGGGCCGCGGGGCCGCGACAGCAGGGGCGACGGGGCCGCGCGAGCAGGGGCCGCGACAGCAGGGGCGGCGGAGCCGCGATGTGAGGGCGACTGGGCCGCTAGGGGAGGGAGGGCCCGAGGCGCGACTCAGGATGGGTGCGCTCCGGGTAGTAAAAAAAATTCGAACTAGTGGTGGGCCCTAGGTGCAGTTCCCACAGGGGAACCGGCTCGATACCATGAGAAAGCTTGAACGAGAATGAATGAACTATGAGTGAAGTGAGTACAAATAGCAAACCCTAATTGGGTTGTACCCCCTATGGGATACCCCACTGTAGCCTACACAACAGCATAAGCTATATGATGTTTTGACAGCTAGATGCGTATACGATGACGTGAAAGTAGCTGTTGTTGACAGTAATCGAAGCCTGCAGTGAGGACAGAAAGAAATGGAAAGAGGGCGGGGTAGGAATATTTATAAGAAAGAACAAGATATGCTAAGGGTATGGGAAGGGCTAGTGAGATTGCTAAGATTCAAGATTGGAGCAGGTAGAACTAAATGCGAAATGTTGGGAAGAGAAAGGATTTATGCTCTGAGGTGAGGTTGGTGGACACCACCAGAAGGACCAATGCAACCTTGAAACCCTAGCCAGTTTTACTTTTTCATAGTATGTGATAATAAATGTAAGTATATATTCTGATCGAAGAAGTTTGGCATAATGGTTCTTTGTGGTTACGCCTAAGGTATGGGGATCGAATTACGCCATGGCCACGTTTTGTTTCTTACAAAAAATATTTTGAACTGCCGGCGACAAGTATCGAACCCGCATCCACAAATCCCCAAAGGCTGAACAATTTTTGAGTCAGTTTTAGGTCACGTTCGGGTCAGGTTACTTTTGGGTCAAAAATACCGCTGCAGCTGCTGCTGTGTTTTCTCTACCCCGAAATGTCTCGAGGTAACTCCGTCATGTGCCTCTTGTAATAGTAATTCCCGTAGCAGTGTGTACCTAGGCACCCAGATGCGGCCGGTCCCGGCTTTTACGTAATAAATTCCTCGTGCTGCTGCGAGCTGCTGCGAATTGCCTCCTGTGAAGAATGGATCCGTTTGATACCCGTGGGTAAATAGTCCTGTTAACAGTGGGCTGGTCTGGGCGAGTAATATCGCGTGGATTTGGGCAGTGGGGCGGGTCAGTGCATCGGCGATGTTCGAGGCTCCCTTTTTATATGTGACCGTGTAGTGAAAATTCGACTCGAGGAAATCGAGCCAACGAATTTGTCGTGGGTTGAGGTGGGGCTGTGCGCGGAGGTACTGTAGTGATCAGTGGTCTGTCCGTACTGTCATGTCTGCGTCGGTCAAGTAACTGTCAGATTATCATAGCTGATGCATGTTTGTAGGCTATAGTGGGGTAGCACATATGGGGTACAGCTTTCTAGGGTTGTATTTGTACCCAACTCTGACTTAGTCATTTCATTCCTGTTCGCTTATTCTCACATGGTATAGAGCGAGTCCTTCCTAAGGACCGTTTTTTTTTTAGGGCCCACCGAAGCGCGCCCCAAGGCGCGCATTTTTTTTTCGCGACCCTTCGGGTCGCCATTGCTCTCGCGGCCCCGCTGTCCCTCTGACGCGGCCCCGCCACCCCTGCTTGACGCGGCCCCGCCGCCTCCTCTGCAGCGGCCCCGCCGCCTCCTCTTACGCGGCCCCGCCGCCCGCTAATCGCGGCCCCGCCGCCGGCTCTGACGCGGCCCCGCCGCCGGCTCTGACGCGGCCCCGCCGCCCGCTGATCGCGGCCCGCCGCCGGCCCTGACGCGTCCCCGCCATCGGCTCTGACGCGGCCCCGCCGCCGGCTCTTAACCGGCCTCGCCGCCGGCTACAACGCGGCCCCGCCGCCCGCCTCGACGAGGCCCCGCCGCCGGCTCTCACGCGGCCTCGCCGCCGCCTCCTGATCGCGGCCCCGCCCCGGCTCTATCGCGGCCTCGCCGCCGGCCCTGACGTGGCCCCGCCCCGGCTCTCTTGCGACCCCGCCGCCGGCTCTCTTGCGGCCCCGCCCCGGGTCTCTTACGGCCCCTGCCGCCGGCCCCGACGCGGCCCCTGCCTCGGCTCTCTTGCGGCCCTGCCGCCAGCTCTGAAGCGGCCCCGCCGCCGGCCCTCGCGAGGCCCTGCCGCCGGTTCTGACGCGGCCCCGCCTCGGTTCTTTCACGCGGCCCTGCCGCCCCACCTGCAGCAGTCAGGCAGCCGTGCAGCCGAGCCGCCCGGGAGCCGAGCCGCCCTACGCTCGAGCCGCCCTGTCGCCGAGCCGCCCGGGAGCCGAGCCGCCCTGCCCCCGAGCCGCCCTGCCGCCGAGCCGCCCGGGAGCCGAGCCGCCCTGCACCCGAGCCGCCCTGCCGCCGAGCCGCCCGGGAGCCGAGCCGCTCTGCACCCGAGCCGCCCGGTCGCCGAGCCTCCTTTCTGCTTAGCTGCACGACCTGCCCTGCCTGGTGAGCACAGTCCCACTGCCGCTGCGTGCTCTTCCCCTACTGCTTGCACTGCTTCGCTGTCGTCGCCATGGCTACCCCTAGTGTCCTAGCTTTTGACGCTGAGGGTCGCGCCATTGATTTTGAGGTCTGGTTAGACGACCTGCAGCTGTTCTTACTGTGCGACAGAGCTGACAGCCTTTCTCTCTTTGACCTCACCTCTGGCGCCTCTCCTGCTCCTGCTGCTGATGCTGATCCCACTGTCCGCTCTCAGTGGGCCACCCGCGATGCTGCTGCACGTCTTGCTGTGCGTTGCCACCTCCCTACCTCTGAGCGTGCGCACTTTAGTCAGTACAAGAGTGCTCAGACCTTGTACGACGCTGTGGTTGCGCGCTACTCCTCCCCTGCCACTGCTGCACTGAGCCGTCTCATGCTTCCCTACCTCTTTCCTGACCTCTCTGCCTTTCCCACTGTCGCTGACCTCATTACGCACCTCCGCACTAGTGACACTCGCTACCGAGCCGCCCTTCCTGCTGAGTTCTGCGCTAAGAACCCACCCCCCATGTACATCGCTCTCTACTACGTAGTCGCGCGCCTCCCTGACTCCCTTCGAGTCGTCAGGGACCACTTTCTCGCAGTCTGTCCCACCACCCTCACCGTCGACCTCCTCGAGAAGGCCCTCCTCGCAGCGGAGAAGAGCATAGTCGCTGTAGGTGCTTCTCGTGGTGACCCTCGCACCCCCATCTTTGAGGGGTGCTCTCCTTCCCCCTTGCTGCCCTCTGTTGCCTCTGCTGCTGCTGCCGACCTGCTTGGTCTTGAGTCGGTCGGCGCGGCGTCTGCCCCTAGTGGGAGACGTCGCTCCAGCAAGGGCAAGGGGGGCAAGGGCGCGGGTGGAGCTGGAGGGGGCGGTGGCGGTGGCGGCGGTGGCGGCGGAGGGAGTGGGGGTGGCGGCGGGACTAGTGGCGGGGGTGGTGGTGGTGGTGGCAGCAGCAGCGGAGACGGTGGTGGTGGTGCCAGCGGTGGTGGTGGAGGCAGCGGCGGAGGTGGAGGCGGCGGAGGTGGAGGCGGTGGAGGCGGCAGCGGAGGAGGCGGTGGTGGTGGAGGAGGTGGAGCTGGTCGGGGTGGTACCCAGCAGCGTAGCGGCGGTGGTGCTGGCCAGCGATCGCAGCGGCAGCAGCAGCAGCGCTCGCGGGACATCCCTCCGCCTCAGCAGCTTCGTGAGTGGTACGC